TAGAACTGTTGGTCATATTCAGAGAATGGTATGAGTATCGTCTGAAGTCCTAGCTAGAAGAGAAGATGCCACTTACATCCATCCACCTGCGTGATGTACAATGCCAGGCACTGTCCAGGAAAGTCCTATACTCTTCATAGAAGGCCCAATTTCCAGTAGAGCTCTAGCACAACAAAAGTCTGTGCATGGTTGAGATCAGGACAGTGAACGGGGAGAGGGCAGCGTGTACTGGTAACATGGCAGGTATCAATCCTGTAAGGGAGACAGTTACTGGAGTTAATTCACTCTTGTTTAGAAAGTACTGCATTGTGATTTGAATGAATAATTGCAGGATAGCTGTGACGTAATTGTTCACCCAGAGACTCACTGTGGAGCCAAGAATTTTGTATGATTCTGTTCTGATGTTTTACTGCTCAGGAACCCAAACTGACCATTTTTTTACAATGGTATGGTACTGTGATGGTATAGACATACCATTTCTGGTGCTGACTCTTGTGAGAGGCAGAATTCTGCTGTGTCTAACTTCTCTGGGAGGTACAGGTGACAAATCCTGCTGGGAAGCTTGTGTGCTGCTGGGAACCTGCTCTTGTGCTGGCTCTTTTCAAGAATAGAGGAGACAATGATTTATTTTTCTTGCTTCTCTCTCTTCTGTCCTGCCCCAAAATGGGGCACTTTCTGCTTTGGAGACCAGAAGGAAAATAACAAAAAAATGTTGCTGTTTTTTTTTCCCATCCCTTAATGCCTTACGGAGCCTGTGTGCAGGAATAGCACCCAGCTATTTCCTACATTACACGTTCCCCATTCTGAGGGTAGGACTGCAGATCCATGCTGAACCCTGTTCCAGTATTACAGATAGGGCTCAGTGCTTCATTCAGCATGAGAAGAATTCCCCCTTTTCCCCAAAAAGAAGCTATTTTACGTGCTGGGATTTGGCAATTTTGCTAGATAGCTCTACTAAACTCTCAAAAAAATCAGCCGAGTTTCTGGTAGATAGTTACCATTGTCTAATATACTAATAACAGTTTACTAATCAACTGTTAGTATCTCAGTGCTCTTTGAAGTGTTATTATCTGATGTTGCATTTTCAAGATTAACCTGCTATTGTCAAGACAGAACATTTGAAGTCAACTCTCTCCAAAACTCACGTGGGTGTCTAATCACGTATTCGGATAACCAGAGCTAAACCTTCAAGAATGTCATCAAATACTGTGAATCTGACAGTGAAATCAGAGGAGCTGGCAATCTGTACTTATATATGACCTTTGTACCATCTCAGACCACTTTAAATACCATTACAATGGTTGTAGTTTAAATGTCTTTTGAGGGAGAAAGAAGTTTGTTACTTCTTGGGAATTGGGTTCCCTCATAAGAGTTCCAGGAGTATTTTGATTAACATGAGACATGGATTTGATGGGTGCACCACGTGGTGGATAAGGAATTGGCTGGATGGTCACACTCTCAAAGAGTTGTGGTCTATGGCTCGATGTCTGGGTGGCGACCAGCAACGTGCGGTGTCCTTCAGGGGTCTGTATTGGAACCAGTATTATTTAACATCTATGTTGGAGACATGGACAGTGGGATTGAGTGCACTCTCAGAAAGTTTGCAGATAGCACCAAGCTGAGTGGTGTGGCTTATACTCTAGAGAGAAGGGATGCCATCCAGAGGGGGCTTGAGAGGTGGGCCCGTGCAAACCTCATGAAGTTCAACAAGGCCAAGTGCAAGGTCCTGCACACGGGTTGGGGCAATCCCAAGCACAAATACAAGCTGTGTGGAGAATGGATTGAGAGCAGCCCTGAGGGAAAGGACTTTGAGGTGTTGGTGGATGAAAAACTGGACGTTAGCTGACAATGTGTGCTCACAGCCCAGAAAGCCAACCGTATCCTGGGCAGCATCAAAAGAAGTGTGACCAGCATGTCCAGCTCTGGAGTCCCCAGCATAAGACAGACATGGACCTGCTAGAGTGGGTCCAGAGGAGGGCCATGAAGATGATTGGGGGCTGGAGCACCTCTCCCATGAGGACAGGCTGAGAGAGCTGGCATTGTTTAGTGAAGAAAAGGCTCTGCAGAGACCTTATGGCAGCCTTCCTGTACCTGAAGGGGGGCCTACAGGAAAGCTGGAGAGGGACTGTTTACAAGGGCATGGAGTGACAGGACAAGGGGTAATGGCCTTAAGCTGAAGGAGGGTCAATTTAGATTAGATACAAGGAAGAAATTCTTCACTGTGATGGTGGTGAGGCACTGGAACAGGTTGCCCAGAGAACTGTGGATGCCCCCTCCCTGGAAGTGTTCAAGGCCAGGTTGGATGGAGCTTTGGGCAACGTGGTCTAGTGGAGGGTGTCCCTGGCCATGGCAGGGGGGTTGGAACTAGATGATCTTTGAGGTCCCTTCCAACCCAAATCATTCTATGATCCTATGATATTTCTGCTCTTAACAAAGACAATGCTAAATTCAAAAGGAATATACAATTAATAACCTCTTTAGGGAATTTGATTTTTTTTCTAAATACTATGTTGAGCAACACTACGGGTTTTTTTAATGGGGAAAGTATATTTGTATTTTTCCTATTACTGATTATATGGGGGCGGGGTAAACCCCTTTTTCTGTTTCTCTTTTACATAAAATTTCACATAAGTATTGGACTCTTCACAGCTTTGTACAACTTGGAAAAAACATTGTTGGCTAGACTTTCTTTCACACTAAGGAACAGACTGTGAAAGTCAGAAGACTTGCTCTTCCTTTGTCTAGATGTCTTGGTTTTTGTTTTGTGGGAGTCAATAAATAGCTTTTTTTTAAAAAAAAATAACTTTTTTACATTAGTGTTTAAAACAACAATGATTCTGTATGGGTAGGAGCTACCATTTTTTCTTTTTCTTGTATTAAAACTATTTTAGGAGAGTTAGTCTTTGTGGAAGCATAGGGATAAAATCTGTGGAACACTGCTTTTTATCTGTTATATACATGGCATGTGCTACACAACGGGCTTTATATTTGTGGATATCAGTATTAACATCATGTACATTTTGTTGTACAATTGATCTTTAAGTAAGGAGAGGACCAGGATTCTTGTCAGACAATATTTTAAACAGGGAGATGTGCTTTTTAACATGTGCTACATCTCTTTCTGTTGCCTAACTTTTTCTTTTTCTTTTTATGTTTAGTTACTATAACTCAAGGAGGTACAATCCAGATTTCTAATCCAACTTCTGATGGTGTCCATGGACTACAGACATTAACGATGACAAATTCAGGAGCTCCTCAGCCAGGTGCTACCATTGTGCAATACGCAGGACAATCACCTGATGGCACACAACAGTTTTTTGTTCCCGGAAGCCAAGTTGTTGTTCAAGGTAGATTTTATTAGTCTCTTGCATTTTAGTTTTTTCATATAAAACATTCTTAAAAGTATTTTTATTTTATGTTGACATTATTGCACTATTAAATAAAATATTTATGCATGACAAGATGAAAGACAGTCTTAGGAGGAGACCTAGTTTCTCTGCTCAGTAAAGCAGCTACTTCTTTTGATTAAAAAAGTTACACAAGGAGGAAATAACAGTATCAAATCACTTTCTGCTTTGAATTCTCTTGTCTAGACTTTGAGACATATGTTTAATTGCAGTAAAGGTGCTGTTACAGATTGAAATGAGATGCTGAGGCTGTGTCTCATTTAATATATGAAACTAATTTGTTTGTTTCAGCAGTTAATCAATCTTAAACACAAGCTCTGAATTTCTTTGGATATGTTTAGGGCAGAATTTTCTTGCAACTTATGATTCTTGTAGTTATTAGAAAGGAGGTCCTTTACTGAAGCTGATTTTTTCACAGAAGAACACTTTGTAGGTCCTATGAAATGCACATATGTGAATTGAACCATGAATAGTGAATTCTTGAACCTTACTGTAGTTTATACAGGATTTTTTTTCCTTCTGCTGTTCCTAGCTTTTTGGAAATGCTGAGGGAGATTGAGAACTAAAGGTGTCTTAGATTCTTATCGATACCAGAGAAAGCAGGGTTGGGATTTGGGTTATGCTGAGGAAAACCTTTGAAAATGGGGAAGAGGTTTCTGTGTGGAGACACTAAATTAATGTCTGCCATGGAGGATTTTATTTTCCCTTTTCACTATATTTTTAATCGGTACAGAGAAGTAGGGACAGAAGGCTGTATGAATGCTTTTTTAGCCAAAAGAGCTATCTGAAATAAACCATGAGAAAAGCTTGGAAGAGTTTAAATATGTATTCATGGAGTGGATGAGAGTCATTGACTAAATGTAGACACAGATAGCTGAGATAGTTGGTGAAGTCCAGGTTGAGGTGCTTTTTTTGCCCTAATATGGATGTTTGAAATAAGTTCTCTCTTCAAGTGGCTGTTTCTCTTCCTTTGCTGTAAAGGAAGTCCAGGATGTAAATAAAGCTAATAGCTTGTAGATATCTGAACTTGTTGAGACAATGCTAAATAATGATACCAAATTTGAATCCTTCCATTGCCTCTGGTTAATTCTTTGCTCAAATACATTGTCTTTCCAAGACTTTTCAGAAGCATTTTGAGGAAGCTCTAAGACTATAATATGAGAAACCGTAAACCAAAATATTAGTTTTCATCATGCAGAGAGTACTATTATAACTTCCTTAAATAATGCTATGAATATATTCTTAGCAAAACCTTAAGACCCAAATTTGGCTGTCCCCCAAACAAATTTCCCACTCTGGTAGTGCATATTTTCTGAGTATGAGTCAAATATGTTTTCTATAACATGTGTACACATCCCTTAAATTAGAGGACTTCTCTGTCTCTCCAGGTTGACTGTAGTATTTTGTGTGTATTGCTTTGATTGTTCTGGGCCTCGGGGGCAGGGGGAGGGCAGAGAGAGAAGCTCCTCAGTTATTTCCTAAAACCTCCCCAGTCTGTGAAGAAGCACAGAACCTAGGGATTGTATCTGGCAGCATTTCAGTCCTTTGGAATTTTATTTGCCTGGCCTTCCTTTACAGATTTTCATTATGGGACTGTCCTCTAATGTCCCTATGCAGTCTTGGTGATGGGCTCGACTACGTGATGGTATAGCCCATTAAGTGCCTGTGATAAAAACTTTAAAAATGGGTTCAGAAGCAGTTACTGAATACCTGCTATATCCAGTTTCTGGAAGCTTCTAGATACTTGTAACTAAATTGATTTGTTCTCTGTCCGTGCTCAGAGAAGTTGGCTTCCTGGAATTCTCTGTTACTTTGGCCCAAAGTAAGTCCAGTGCTTTAGTAATGCTCATAGCTGTTGTCACAGAAGAAAAATGCTATGTAACATATACAGGGAAAAATGCAAAGGGAATAGTAAGTGAGCATGAACTCAGATATGATGAGAAGATAAAAGGTTTCAACTTATTATACACACTATTGATACTGGAAAATCTTTAAAAAAAACCCAGCAAAACCCAACTTTAATAAAAAAAAGAGTATGCAAAAGAGTATGAAAGCACCTGAGAATGTTTATGGTAATACAAATCTCTTTATGGTAGTAATTGTATATCGTCAACAAACCTGAGTTATTCAGGATGGAGTGAGACAATGAAATTAGTTGGATATAAAAGTCTCTAATACATCCTTACTACAGGTGATCTTGCCTGTGCTAGAAAGTCTGTAGGAATATAGTTTATGAACATTTGTTATTTATGTACACTTTGTAGTTGACTGTTCACCTAGTATTGTCATAGCACAGATTATAACAGGAAAGCAAACTTCTGCCTAGTAATCTTTCCACTGGCATATATTTTTATAATGGTTTTGGGTAGGCAGCACGTAAATTTTATTTGTAACAGTCATAGAAGTAAAAGGAAAAAAAAACCACCTAAATATTAGTCCAAGGGTAGAAAAGATCTGTTTCCACA